AATATGAATAATACCAGCAATAGATTTGAATTTCGAAAACATAAAACTACGTTAAACTTCATGTAGTTGAACAGTTGAATTCAACTTAGTTAAGAAAACCTTGAAGATCTTTTGGAACAAATCTCATGGTGTTGCTTAGAGAATTAAGAGAAGAAACAAAAGGATAGGATATATGGCTTATTTTTTCACTTATAAAATAGAAAAAAAAGTTTTTTTTTTCTCAAAAACTCTGAGGCCCTCCCTGATTTTGGGCCTGAGGCGATGGCCTCACTCGCCTCGGCCCAAAACCGAGCCTGATTATACGGCTAAAACAAAGGCTCCATTTGAGCTCCATTTTTTGTGAAAGTAATAGTGGTCTTTTGGAGGATGTGTGGTTACGAAGTATGAATGTAGTTGAAAATGAGTTTAAAAAATAACGAATTTTTAGAGAATGAGACTCAAACATGGACTAGGTAAGAGCTCGAATTCAACTAACTTAGAAGGTTTATCAATAAGTTAGAATATTACATGTTTGGTGGGACTTAAAATTTAGATTTTAATTTAATCAAAGGTAATAATTAATTTTAATCATACATTTCATGAGACTCATAACCTTTCTACCACACATTTCATCAATTTTTATCAAAAATTACTAAAAATATGATTTTAATCCTCCACCAAAAAAGAGTTTAAATAAATTACTTATTTAATCCCTACTATAATAAAAGAGCCAATTCGTCGGGTACTATTCATTTTGAAGCATTTTGGTTTTTCTAATTACCCCCTCTGCTAACTACTATTCATTCCGAAGCATTGTCATTGGTTGAAATTGTTATAATATCTTAACCCACAGTTGTTGACTTTGACCGTCATTTTGGTTTCCATAATTACCCTCACACTGCTGAGTACTGTTCATTTTGAAGTATTATGATTTCCCGAATCACCCCCACACTGCTGAATACTGTTCATTTTGAAGCATTCCCGTTGACTGAAATTGTAAGAATAATATCTTCACCCAAATATATTTTAATTATAATATTTTTGTTTAAAATATCTTAATACTTATTCAACTCTATTAAAAATAAGTACAAAATTAGTTAAAATAATGGAAGTTAAAATTGTTCATATGTTTTTATAGTTGTGGAAAAATGAAAAATAGATAACATGTTTAATTTTGTATTATTAAACAAAATTGAAATTGTAAATAAAAAGAATCCATATATTTATTTTTAATAATAGGTGTGGAAAAAGGAACACAAGAAAAAATAATAATGAAGGTTTATACTAAAGTTATATATAAACTAAAAAGGAAAAAGAATTGATATATAAAATAGTACTGAAATTAAAAATAAGTGTGATGAATGAATTAACCTGAATTTATAGTACTTAATAAATCATTGTTAAGTGTTTTATTTTTATTTTTTAGGTTCAAAATATTGTGAAGTTGAAAACGTAGTTGATATGATTAATTTTATTGTGCTTTCAGTGAGGATAATATTGTTAGGATTATGTTTTTTTTTTTTATTAGTTAAATTGAAATATAGGAAATGGGGAAAAAAAAGGAATGCAGGGAAAAAAAGAGAGGAAGAAATTGCTCCGCACTCTTTGGAGCAAATTGCTCCGCACTGTGCGAAGCAATGTCTTCCCTTTTCTTTTTTTCTCCCATACATTTCTTTTTTTCCAATTTCCTATATTTCAATGTAACTAATAATAATAAAAAAAACACCATCCTAACAACATTATCTTCACTGAAAATACAATAAAATTAATTATATCTACTATGTTTTCAACTTCACAATATTTTGAACCTACAAAAAAAAAACACTTAACAATGATTTATTAAGTACTATAAATTCAGGTTAATTCATTTATCACACTTATTTTTAATTTCAGTACAATTTTTAACTTATTTTGGTTTCCATAATTACCTTCACCCTGCTAAGTACTGTTCATTTTGAAGTATTATGATTTCCCGAATTACCCCCACACTGCTGAATACTGTTCATTTTGAAGCATTCCCGTTGACTGAAATTGTAAGAATAATATCTTCACCCAAATATATTTTAATTATAATATTTTTGTTTAAAATATCTTAATACTTATTCAACTATATTAAAAATAAGTACAAAATTAGTTAAAATAATGGAAGTTAAAATTGTTCATATGTTTTTATAGTTGTGGAAAAATAAAAAATAGATAACATGTTTAATTTTGTATTATTAAACAAAATTTAAATTGTAAATAAAATGAATCTGTATATTTATTTTTAATAATAGATGTGGAAAAAGGAACGCAAGAAAAAAAAAATAACGAAGGTTTATACTGAAATTATATATNCAGTTAATGGAGTAATATTTCAATTTATATATGAAGGTTTATATTGAAGTTATATATAAACTAAGAAGGAAAAAAAAATGATATATAAAATAGTACTGAAGTTAAAAAAAAAAGTGTGATGAATGAATTAACATGTACTTAATAAATCATTGTTAAGTGTTTTATTTTTACTTTTTAGGTTCAAAATATTGTGAAGTTGAAAACGTAGTGGATATGATTAATTTTATTGTGCTTTCAGTAAGGATAATGTTGTTAGTATTGTGTTTTTTTTTTTTTTTATTAGTTAAATTGAAATATAGGA